ATGATATTGCTGTAAACAATTCCACGAAAACAAGATCGGCAATAACAAAATTCCAATTTTTATTATTTGTCTATGCAAATGAAACCAATTCCTCACAATTGAAAAATTAAACTCGACCTCACAAACCTTTATCTTGATGATATTGCTGTAAACAATTCCACGAAAACAAAATCGGCAATAACAAAATTCCAATTTTTATTATTTGTCTACACAAATGAAACACATTCCTCACAAATGAAAAATTAAACTCGACCTCACAAACCTTTATTTTGATGATATTGCTGTCAAAGGGATATTGCAACTTTTTTGACCAGAAAAAACGCCATCTTACGTCGTGCCCGTAAATTATTTTACTGTACATTTAGATGGTAGAGCTTGAACAAAAGTTCGACACTATGCCATTAACTTGGAAAGAGCTTGATAAACTTGATGAAATATATATATATTTTATGGTCGTTGCAATACCCCTATGATTGCTGTAAACAATTCCACGAAAACAAGATCGGCAATAACAAAATTCCAATTTTTATTATTTGTCTATGCAAATGAAACAAATTCCTCACAATTGAAAAATTAAACTCGACCTCACAAACCTTTATCTTGATGATATTGCTGTAAACAATTCCACGAAGACAAAATCGGCAATAACAAAATTCCAATTTTTATTATTTCTCTATACAAATGAAACAAATTCCTCACAGATGAAAAATTGAACTCGACCTCAAAAACCTTTATTTTGATGATATTGCTGTAAACAATTCCACGAAAACAAGATCGGCAATAACAGAATTCAAATTTTTGCTATTTCTCTATGCAAATGAAACAAATTCCTCACAAATGAAAAATTAATCTCGACGGTCAGTACTCTTCAGCCTGACAATTTTCGCTTTTTGTAAATCCCTTCTGTGTAGATTTAGTGGTATTTAGTGCCACCAATTTTAGATTTAGTGCTTCAACTAGGAGCGAGTTATGTGCATCGGCGTTTGGGGGATGACGCAAATAGGGGTAGTAAAAAAAAAACTTTTTACCCTCGTAAGATATTGCAAATTGATGGTACCATGATTTAGTGCTCATTTAGTACTTCCAAAATAAAGTCTCAGATTCTAATTTGCTTGAAAAATACCCAACATATGGCCACACGTTATAATTTGGCAGAAGTAGTCCATCCCCTAAAACGTCAAACACTATAAAATTTTCAAATTTTATGCAAAAAATATATTCTCGGCGGATTTTGAGAGCACTAAATGGGCATTAAATGCATGGACTATTTTCAGATTTAGTGCTCACTTTTTGAAATTTTTCCAAAATTCGCCCTCTCGTCGTTCAAAGGAAGATTTTTCGACAAATATTAAAAGTTGAGCACCAAATCTAAAAATAGTCCATGCATTTAGTGCCCATTTAGTGCTCCCAAAATCCACCAAGAACACACTTTTTGCGTAAATGTTGAATATTTTATAGTGTTTGGCGTTCTAGGGTACATTAATATTGTAACGAAGAGCCGAAGTAATGCTATTACAATTGTAATGCCAGTCATTTGACATTACCGGTAATAGCTATTACAATTGTAATCAGGCAACCAAACGAGATAGATGGTCAGCTACGGCTGACGCTCGCTATCCAGATAATTTGCGTGCGGTGAACGCATATAGAACGTTCCGCTGTCGCCGCACTCGTTCGTTCGTTGTTCGTTCGTCGTTCACTGATCGTGGAACGCTTGTGCATTGTACAAGGAGAAGCGCACGCACACTGAGTTGTGTGTTCATCCATGCATTAACATGAAAAGAACGTTAACTCGTTGTTGTAGTTGTTATTGTTTTCGTTTCTCTCTTCTGTCTTGCATCATTCGTTTGACTCTTGGTCGTGTTTAAACTCAACGGACTTTATTTTAAATGCAAACACAACATTGTACAATTTTTTTTATGTTATTCTCTTATTTTTCCTGATTTGTCTAAAGTGTGAACACTATAGAATAAATTAAAAATATTTTGCACTGTCAATCGAGTCAAAATAATTGTTTTTCATTCGCTGTTTGAAACAAAAAACATATTTTTATCTGCACTTAATACGGTGACACATTGTATTGGAGAGACATTGTTTACAAAACTCTCATGTTTCACAACCTCAAACCGATGAAATGTAGTGACAATAAATTCAGACCTTTTCGCCAAAAAGACGATGAATCATGCTCATGAAAAATGGTTTTAAATCAGTCTCAGACATGTTGATTACATTCGAATCAGAGAAATTGCACTGTTCCCAATAGTTCTACTTACGCATATGCAGCAGTGCAGTCGAATTGTTCTGAAAAATTTGATTTCAAGGAAAAAAAGTACACGATTGCGATTCAGTACTGCACGTGTGTGCTCATATAGACTTTATTTTTAAGCTTATTTTCGATCGATTTCTAACAGAAAGAGAATTTTGTTTTTGCTTTATTGTTCCATCATAAATGCTTTGGTATTGGCAGTATCCAAGTTTTAGTTTTAATGTGAATTGTTGGTAACTGTTTTAATTGTTTGTTTAGTATTGTGTAATTGCATCTCGCAATTCATCGCCTTTTGTTTCGTAAGAAACTTGCTTATTCAAATTCATAATCATAATATCGGTCAAACGCGCTGACTGCAGTCGGCCGCGTCTATTGCTGAATACGTGGTTGAGGTGTGAAAAATCACGCTTAATAGGAACTTCGGTCGGCGGCACGCTATGCACTAGCATGGCCAATGTGTACAGTTGTGGATGAGTGTTTTTAACGGTATCCCAATATTCGAGTATAGAGTGATTTGGTGAAAGTAATTCCGGTGGAAAAGACTCTAATATAAGATCAATATCGACATTGTTGTGAATAATCGGATCATCTTCGGTATTGTTTCCTTGGAGAAATGACGTCAACTCGGCGTCTGCATCAAAATCGAAGCTGATATTCGATGAGCCACTATGATTTGCATTTCTTGCACCTTCAACAGCATAGTTTTGTCGTTGCCACAAGTTGGATAACATACGCTTCGCTTCTTCAACCTTCGTGCCATTTGAAGCCAATTGATTTCTGAAACTTGGATCCAAAAAAATCGCGCTAGTCATGAATGGATTGTTGTAAATGGCCTCTTTTCTAGTGTTAAGAGATTCCAATAAGAATGTGGCCAAGGACGTCTTGTAATTTGTCTTTCTTGAACATGCACCCAAATGAAGTTGCATTCTCTTCCAAATGCCAAATACATCGGAAAGCGTCAAATCGTGTCTTTGTACTGCAATTGTTGCACGAAGTGGAATTTGTAATATGTAAACAGTTTCCCGTAAAATTTGCCATTCCTGGCTTAACAATTTGCACATCTGGTGTCGATTACTTGCATAATGCTCAATCACAGCCTTACAGTTCATGACATCGGTCAACTAAGGAAAAAAGAACGAGAACAAATCAGACGGATTAATATTTTTGGTGGGGGGGGGGGGGGGGGTGTGAAGGGTAGGAAATGAGAGTGAATAAACACAGCATCAAGACGCATCAAAAGAACGTTGACAAATTTATTTCAATTCGTAAAGATTTATAGTCAATTACGCTGAATTTGACATTTTCAACAAATTAATTTGTTTGCAAAAACAAAAACAACCAACTTTTTTGAAAGTCAAAAATTTTGAGCCAGAGGAAATTCGCTTGGTGGATTATTCAAATCATTCTCAGAAACTGACTTGGATATTGGGTTATGTGCTGCGTTTTGTTAACAATTGTCGTAACAAAACGCGAACGAAAAACTTGTTTCAAAGGCAAACAAGGAGCAAAAAGGCAATTCAGAGCGACAAGACATTGCCTGATCCGCTATATGAGAATGAGAAAAGAGAAGCATTAAAATTTTTCATTCAGCAAGAGCAATTGAAGGCCTTTCCAAGGGAGTATAATTATTTGAAAGATATGGCAAACGATGAGCAAATAACAACAGTACAGAAGGACAGCAGTATCATAAAACTGCGGCCCTTTTTAGACAAAGAAGGGATTTTACGAGCAGGTAGTCGTTTGAGCCAGGCTGACTTGCCATACGACACCAAATTCCCAGCGATAATTGCATCAAATTCTCGTTTGAGTTATTTGCTTGCATGGGAAGCTCATCGCGTCACAGAGCATAGTTCGATTCAGCTGATGATTCAATATATTCGCACGAGGTATTGGAACCCTCGTTTGCGAATTGAGCTAAGAGCGTACCTGAGTAAATGCATTAAGTGCATTCGCCATGTGAAAAAGTTCGAGACTCAATTGATGTCTGAGCTACCTGCGGACCGAGTGCTTCAAAATCGACCTTTTTTGATAGCGTCTGTGGATTATGCAGGTCCATTTGAGCTGACTGAGCGTTATAAGAGCAGATCAACTAAGCGCAAATGTTGAAACGCAATTTTTGTGTGCATGATAACACGTGCTGTTCATATTGACATTGTTACCGATGCATCCGCAGCAGCGTTCATAGCATGCTTTGATCGCTTTGTTGCTAGACGTGGTCACTGCAACAAGATTTATAGTGACAATGGTACCTGTTTTGTTGCAGCGGACAAAGAGATTAAGGCAGCCTTTGTGCATTGGCTTTCACCAGCCGTTTTAAAGCATTTGAATAAGAAGCGCACATAATGGGTGTTTATGAAGCCGTCAGCACCTCACCAAGGTGGCATTTATGAGGCGGCAGTAAAATCGTGTAAATATTACCTCAGAAGGGTGATTGGAGCAAAATCGTATACTTATGAGGATTTAATCACGTTCCTAGTGCAGGTAGAAGCAGTGCTCAATTCACGTCCATTGTATGCTATGAGCGATGACCCAACGGACATGCAAGTGATATGTCCAGGTCATTTTTTGATCGGTGAGCCGTTCATTTTGCCACCGCCAATAGCGGCACCGGCAATAGCAAATTATTCGTTAAAAAGAATAAGAGAAGAGCAACAGAAAATGTTAAAATCATTTTGGGATGCATGGCGCAAAGACTATTTGCCAACGCTAATGCAGCGTAAAAAATGGACTCAAGTGCATGAGTTCAAAATTGGGCAATTAGTACTAATTTGTGAAGACAACATTGCACCAACTTATTGGCAAATAGGACGCATTCATGAGCTGATTCGTAGCAAGGACGGTTTGGTACGTTCGGTTGTTGTTTTATTGCCAACAACCCAAGAGCGAGCTAAAAGAAAAACACTCGTGCGACCGGTACAGAAATTATGTTTATTGCCGGTCGAAGACGAGAAAGAGCGTGAGAAAGAAATCGCAGTGATTGACAAAATTTCGGAAGGCTCGAGCAACACAAAAAGCTGAGTCTGAGAAATTTGTTGAGCATCATTATCGAGCAATGTACAGTTTGGTGTTTACGAGCACCAATCTCAAAATACACAAAATAACGGAGCTGAATTGTTTTGAAAAAGGTTCTCAAAGAATCATATTTCAAACATTTCCTTTTTGGGCATGAATACAATGTTGCGCATCGAGAGCAAAAAGAATGTTTAAATTTTGTCACCAAGAGCGTTGGTGAAATGCGCATTCTAAATGTGTTCATTTCAACATATTTTATGACGGACAAACAAACACTCGTTGTGTGTCCAAACAAATGCTCAATTGCAACCATGGTTTGTTTTTTCTTTTTGTTCCGAGAAAAAGGGATTAACGGATCGCAGTGTGCAGGCAAAAACATGCAAAACCATTTGAGCAGAGCATACTTGGTTTCTTGCTGGCGCGGCAGCGTTCGTGTTGTGCACACACACACGAGCAGAGTTAACCAACAAACCGACTTCGCCGATAGAGCATTGTGCGAAAGAAAGAGATGCAGATTATCGAAATCTCTTTCATGAGCTCAGAGCACAAGTCCCAGCATCGTTTCCGTGTTGGTGTGTGCGGCCAACGGACTTCAACTTATTCAGAGTTGTGACTCTTGCGACATTTTGTTAGTGCATTATTCTTTTGGGAGCAGTGAAAGTGAATAATCGAAAATTCAACTTCTAAAATTTGTGCCTTAATTTCTGTGCCTGAAAAAACTGTGCAATTATATTCGAGCAAGGTAAGACGAAGAATCGATATTGTGATTAAGTGTAATAAAAAGTGAATACGTCACAGTGTTGTGAACTTCATCAAAACTATATGTGCAAAGCGCACTAAGGACTTTTATCAGTGTTCAGTGTAATTGAATACAAAGTGCTAATTTGTGATGAAAATTTTCGTTCAAGTGAAACGTGCTTCCTTAAACTAATCACTACGATATATTTTCAGATGTGTGACGAATTTGTGGATAAAATTACGAAAATGCTCGAAGGCTTGAGCATTGGCGACACGCCAGAGCGTGCATTAAATGAGCTCAATGGCTTGTTTGTAGCATTTCATGAAGAAATACAACTCATGAGCGAGGAAGAACGTGCCACCCAGCTCGAAGGAAGTGTTGAAGCGCAGCGCGCGTTTCACAACGCTGGTTTGGCAATAATTACACGATTGTCAAACCGAGAACAAGAGCAAGCAACAGCACGAGCTGAAGTGCAAACCGATGGCAATGATATGGAAGTCACCGAGCATGGTGATAATCCAGCGGTCAATGCAAACCAAGTTGGGCAACAAGTGCAACCACCCGCGGTGAATTCGGAAGAAGGAGCTTGTGGCGGCCAAGAGCCAACTACTTCGAAAACAATAAAACCAGTTGCCGATGATGTCTCCCAAAATGTGCAAATGGGGTCAAGTGAGAATGTGGCTGCTGTGCACCTACCGTTCCTCGATTTTGAGGTGTTGTTTCGCCCTTTGTTCGAGATAGAACAAATGAGCCGAGTGGACGAAATGGCACTGAATCGGTTTTTGGTAACTATCATGGAAATGCGCGAACGAGCAAAGCGCTTGAACTTTCCATTGGAGCAAGAGCGGCAATTCATAATTGTTTTAATCCAAAATCGATTGGACTTTATTAGCCGCTCATTATGGATGTGGCAACTCGATCGTGCTGAGCCGACGATCGAAGGTTTAACCGATTTTTTGGTCAAACGGAGCAAACGAATTGATCCACATGAACGGCCGCAGCAACAACAACAATCACAAGGTGCTGTGCCAAAAGCAAATCGTCCGGTGGTACCGCGATTCCAACCGCCAGTTGGAGCTGCCGAATCATCAACATCCAAGGGCAAAAAACACAAGCCTGTGTGCCCGAATTGCAATGGAGAGCATTTCCTACACAAATGTGAGCAATTCAAAAATATGACGGTTGGTCAGAAGCGTTCATTTCTGGACTATAACCGTTTGTGCCATAATTGCTTTTCCCAAGCGCACACCACAGGCGAATGGAAAAAGGGCGTTTGCAAGCGCTGTGGTACAAAGCACAACAGTTTGTTGTGCCCGAAATCACCAGGAGAATAAAGGTGAGAAATGTGCCATTCTCACCGTGGGGAGTGTACCGAGTCGTGTCAACGGCTCGGTGAAATTCCCAAAATTTACTTCAAGCAACAACATAAAAAGTCAAAATAAGCTGATGTCATTTTCATCGTACAGCGCGTGCGATGTTTAATACGAGCACAGAATCGTCGTCGTCCCGCGACCATGATTGAGTCTGCGACCGAACGCGTTTCAGAGCGGTTCGTTACCAAGGAACAGAGCGAGAGTTTTTACGCCAGTGCGGCTTTTCTCTCAACAGTTAAATTGGAATAAAGAAAAGAGAATCTAAAGAGAAACAAATTCTTTCATTCAATAGATTGGTACTTATTATTTCAGTTTAGTTTAAGTTTCTTTTCCGCAGCGGTGTGTAAAATTATTAGTGAAATATCAAGGTAAGCGCTTCTGCTCTGAACAATGCACAATTTTTTGTTTTTGAATCATTTTGATATATGTTTTGTGCCACGATAAATAGAGAAAGACCTCATACTTAGATTTTTGAAAAATTGCGTATTTGTCGAGAAAATCGGAAAAGAATCAAAAGTGTCAAATCACTATAAAAGCTTGAAAAAATTAAATTTCATAAAACTAATGACGCAGAAAGTTAAATTGATGTGTTTTGGTCCTACGAGTCCTAATTTGACAATTGAAAAATATGTACAAACCCACAAGATAAGAGGAGGGAAAATGTGGAATTCTGCTATAATTTCGCATTTTTTTTTACAGCAGTACATAAACAGAAAAAACTTTCCATTCACCTAACCAATTGTAGCCTGTAAAGTATCAAATGAAAGCTAGTTCAATTCCCTTCATTTGTTTCCAAACAAGAATGCAAAAATATTCAGTGGTTTCATAGCTATAGCGTCTGGCGTATCTGGTTACTTTGGGAACTGACATGTGATAAAGGGTTAAGTCAATTTTGTATTAGTCATATTTTACCAGAGAATACTTACAGATGAATTCATCTGTCGATGATGAATATATGCGATAAATTTATCAGATAAATCCTATGCGTTGCGTTGTTCTAACGCATTTGCAGCATAAAAACGAAGAGGAGTTCATTGGAAGGAATTGGGATCCATTGGTATCCAATCCTTTCTAATAAATTCCTCTTCGTTTTTATACTGCAAATGCGTTAAAACAACGCAACGCATACGATTTATCTGATAAATTTATCGCATAAGTTCATCTATCGATGATGAATCCATCTGTAAATATACTCTGTATTTTACGTATCAAATTCAAGGTGAAAAAAGAGACACCAAAACGGAGAAATACTTGATGTATTTTGTTGACGATTGAAGCGCCCCCTAACATGATGCGACATTGGATGCGACGTTCGAACGAATCAACACCTCTGTGTACACTGTACACTGTACAACGCACACATAGACTCTTTGCATTCACACGAACGTTCACACAAAGACTTTACTTTCACACGTACGTATAGTTACAGAGATTTGTGGTTGGTGGCGCTCCCAACAAAGTTTCCAAAGCAGTTCTAAGCGTCAAACATTGCTAAAGCATATGAGCTAGATAGTTTTGAGATACACAATCAGAAAGCAACACAACTGATTCCACACAGATAGGAGTCCAAAAGCGAATCAAACAGCCCTCCGAGATGGCATTTGTGAAAGACAATATTGTTGAAAATCATTCAGACTTTCCAGTCAATCCAACCTTTCCTCCCTCCATCCACTACCATCACAGTCTACCACGGATTGACACAGTCATCGTGGTCTAACGCTGTTTAACAGGTTATCGCGTGATGAAAAAAAATCAAAGGGAAACAAAACTCAACAAGTCAATAGCATACATACTCATGTAGTGCTAAAAAGGATAAAACGAAAAACTTCTGGGTGCGGTGAAACGTCAGACGTGTTGTGAACACAACTCCGAGCTCCGCCAAATATTTATACTTTTACCCTAGTTTAGTCGCAGTATTATTACAAAGTTTGGTATTATTACATTAATCAAGTCATATTGCATCGGGAAAAAGTGGAGTTCAAAATAAATCACACCTGGAAATAAAATAAAATCATCAAATCATCGATCGCATAGGCAACAAGAAGTATTTTTTTTCCCGTCGGTGTGCGTTATTGGGATGTACGCACATTAACGCAGCGTTCGGTCTGACAGCTACCATCGTTTAATACATGAATACATAAACACCATCAACGTTTTGAGTCAGTGAGCAACATAACCTTCAACATGTCAACGGAAAATAATAACACCACTGATACTCAAAACAAAAATGAGCCAACAATCTCCGATGTATTCGCTCTACTTAAAAAAGTACCCGTCAAAGATGATCTCAATGACATGAAACAAGAGCTAATTGCGTCGAACGAAGAAAACAAATGGAAAATTCAAGTTGTTGAGCAGCAAGTTGATACGTGGATGTCAATATCGGAGACGAACACAGACAGAATACGTGAACTAGAAGACACCGTTCAGGTACTACAACAAGAAAAATTGGCAAACAATGTGTGTATCTCGGGTGTTCCACCATGTGACAACCTGGATGCCATGGATACAGTTCGTAAAATCGCCAGCGCATTCAATGTGGACGTCACATCGGACAGATTCACAGCTTATCCAACAGCCAACAAAAAGTTGATTATCGTCAAATTTCAACACGCTTCAACCAAACAAACACTGATAAACAAAATTCGTGTGAAAAAATGTCTAATGGTTGAGGAAGTATTTGGTGCCGCTCAGTCAAACAGTAAAATATATATCAATGACCAATTAACCAGATACTCTAGTGATATTTTCCTGTTGGCCAGACAAGCGTGCAAAGATGGTAAACTGGCGACGGCCTCATCAATTGGTGGTAAAATTAGAGTTCGCAAGCAACAAGTCTCACTTCCAATCGTCATTACAAACAAAAACCAACTAAATATTATTATCGCAATGGA